TAATTTTTTAGGACCTTCCACGGCAACAAACGTCGTTCTTTTAAGCGTATTTTTTTCAAGTACCTTCCAGAACCAAAAACGTGAAACTTTTATCAGCATTTTGTCAAGATCCCGTAAAGGCCATTAACTCGTTTTTAAAAATATTTTCAATGATTTTTCTTGGCCACATGGATTTTTTCAAATAGAAGTGGTTCAATATTATTTTGGTGCCATTCGGAAGAGTATTTGATGAGTATTTTAAGGATCTTTCCGAGCCATAAAACGAGTTCTTTCAAAATATATTTTCAAGGAATTTTCAGGGCCACAGGGCCAGGTAAACCATAGAATAGTTTCCCAATAATTGTTCAGGCTGCAGCCTTAAATTTTAAGTGTTTTTAAGACCTTTACGGATTGGTAATATCAAGGGACTTAGGGACTTTTTCGGGCCTTTCAAGTAGTAAGCATGAATTTTTTCACCTTTCTGCCTTAACAAAAAAAAAATACTTTTTCCTGGTTTCAGAATCTTCTAAATTTTCAAGAACTTTTCAGTGTCACAATAGTGTATTTGAATTTAATTAAAGAATATTTTTTACAGAACTTTAAAAAAGTCACAAGCGTTAGAACAAGGACTTTTCAGAACATGTATTTCTCAAGAAAATTTTTTAATAACTTTCGGACCATTCATGGTATCTAAAGCTTTGACTGTGCAAGGAATATATTTTCTAGGATCTTTCAATACTACAACCATGGATTTTTTTGAAGGACCTGTGGAGGCCAAAACGAGTATTTTTATGAGACTAATTAAAAGACACAAGCGTGGACAATTTCAAACTAATTCCTAAGGATTTTATAAGTTCCTCTCAAAGCTACAATCCTGTTTTTATGTCAATATGTCCTTCAAGGACAAACGAAAATTTATGAAAAAATATTTTTTGAACATTTCAATGCCGGAAACGTTGATATTTTATTCAAAAATTTTCTGAGGACTTTTTATTGCTTTAAAACCGAAATTTTTTGAAAATTTTGTGAAGGTCCTTCCATGCAAACAACATTGAACTTTTAGAAAATTTGCTCTTTCAGGGAGGGAACGAGGCTCGTCTCTTGTTCTATGAAAATGTGAAATAAAAACTTTTAAAGGACATATTAATTTCAAATTTTTGATAGAACAAGAACGCAGATCCTCTTTTTGTTACGGATCGATCTTAATTTTTCAACATATCTTTAAGGATCAATCTGCGCCAAACCTAATTTTTGCAGGATTTTTATTATGAATGATACATATTCCTGAAAATGCTCATATTATCCTTTATGGCCATGTCACTTACAATAATGTTGTTGTCTCATAGAAAACAATACATACATATATCATGACATTATTTGGCAGGTTCTATAGACTCCGCAGACGAACGACCATTAAATGAATATGAATTTGTTATTGAACTAAATATTTGACGACAAGCTATGTTTTACATGTTCAACATGAATTATCCAAAACAACAACAACGACGACAACAACAATAGCAACAACAAAAAAATTAACATTGTTGTGATTAAAATGCAGGCCAGGAATGTAGTTCATCGATGATGATGATGATGATTGTGTTAATGATGACGATAAAGATATGCTAAGGACACATAAAAGATGGATTTCAACACGCAAGGCACGCAACAGTCCTGTCTAGGAATTCGATGGCTTGTTAATTTTTAGGCAAGAATAGTGAGCGGGGGAGTCGTCAGACACATTAATTATGGATGTTTGTGGTGGAACAGTGAAAAACATGTCAAAGGATGTAACCCTTTGAAATGAATTAACATTTGTCGTTTTTTTTTTTTTTTTTTTTTTTTGAGTGCAGTTCGAAAATTGTATGCAATGCAGGTTTTTCGTTGCTCAAAAACTAAAAATAACACGCTTCTATCCAGAAAATAACTACTTTCTTTAATAAGTCTTTAATAAAAACGGCACGAGGAAGTTCTTTAAAAAAATCCAGATTGAGATTACGATTGTCCTCGTTTATTTTAAGAAAGATCCCTAAAAAATAAAAATGTAAAAAATCTACGTTTATTTTAAGGAGGGTCCTTAAAAAAAATAAAAATTTTAAAAATTTACTTTTATTTTAAGGAGGGTCCTTAAAAAAATAGAAATTTTAAAAATTCACGTTTATTTTAAAAAAGGTCCTTAAAAATAAATTTTTTAAAATATCACGATTATTTTAAGGCAGATCCTTTAAAAAAATAAAAATATTAAAAATTCACATTTATTTTGAGGAAGGTCCTTTAAAAAATAAAAATATTAAAAATTCACATTTATTTTAAGGCAGGTCCTTTAAAAAATAAAAATATTAAAAATCCTCGTTTATTTGAGGCAGGTTCTTAACAAAAAAAATTTAAAAATCTACGTTTATTTTTAACCAGGTCTTTAACAAAAAAATTTAAAAATCCTCGTTTATTTGAGGCAGGTTCTTAACAAAAAAATTTAAAAATCTACGTTTATTTTTAACCAGGTCTTTAACAAAAAAATTAAAAAATCCACGTTTATTTTATGGAAGGTCCTTAAAAAATAAAAATGTTAAAAATCTACGTCTATTTTAAGGAGGTTTCTTAAAAAAATAAAAATATTAAATATCCACGCTTATTTTAAGGAAGGTTCTTGAAAAATAAAAATATTAAAAATCCACGTTTATTTTAAGGAGTATCCTTAAAAAATGAAAATATTAAAAATTCACGTTTATTTAAGGCAGGTTCTTTAAAAAATAAAAATATTAAAAATCCACTTTTAATTTAAGGCAGGTCCCTTAAAAAATGAAAATATTAAAAATCCTCGTTTATTTGAGGCAGGTTCTTAACAAAAAAAAATTTAAAAATCTACGTTTATTTTTAACCAGGTCTTTAACAAAAAAATTTAAAAATCCACGTTTATTTTATGAAAGGTCCTTAAAAAATAAAAATTTAAAAAATCCACGTTTATTTTGAGGCAGGTCCTTAACAAAAAAACAAAAAATTAAAAATCCACGTTTATTTTGAGGCAGGTCCCTAACAAAAAAAAAAATCAAGTTTATTTCCTGGCAGGTCCTTGGAAAAAAATAATTTATAGAAATCAACGTTTATTGACTGGAAGGTCCTGGTTAACAATTTATTTTTAAAAATCCACATTTTTTGCTTTGAAGGTCCTTGAGACAAAATAAGTAAAAAATCCACAATTTTTCGTTTGAAGGTCCCTGAGAAAAATAGATAAAAATTCAAAATTTTTCGCTTGAAGGTCCTTGAGAAAAATAAATGTAAAAATCCAAGTTTATTGATAGGAAGATGCTTGGGAAAATTATTTAAAAAATCCACGTTTATTGATAGGAAGATGCTTGGGAAAAATTAATTAAAAAATCCCTGTTTATTGCTTGACAGGTCCTTAAGAAAAATTTATTTAAAAATATCCCTTTTTGGCTTGGAAGGTCCTCGGAAAAAATTAATTAAAAAATCCACGTTTATTGCTTGGATGGTCCTTGAAAAAAATTAAATTTTAAAATCCACGTTTAATACTTAAGATGTTTTTGAAAAAAAAAAATAATAATAATAAATTTAAAAATCGTAGTTTATTACTTAAGAGGTCCTTGAAAGGAATTAATTCAAAAATCCACGTTTATTGCTTAGAAGGTCCTTAAAAAATATCAATTTAAAATTCCCTGTTTATTACTTGAAAGGTCCTTAAGAAAAATTATTTTAAAAATCTAAAAAAAATAAAAAATCCGCTTTTCGCTTGAAAGATCCGTGAGAAAAATTAATTTTAAAATCCACGTTTATTCCTTAGATGGTCCTAGAAAAAAACATAATTTAGAAATCCACGTTTATTGTTTGGAAGGCCCTTGTAGAAAATTATTTTTAAAAAATATTCGCGATTTAGCTTGGAACGTCCTTGAGAACAATTAATTTTAAAATCCATGTTTCTTGCTTGGAGGGAGCTTGAGAAAAATTAAAGAAAAAATTAATTTAAGACTCCACGTTTATTGCTTGGAAGGTCCTTGAGAAAAATTAATATAAAATGCATGTTTATTGCTTGAAAGGTCCTTGAGAAAAATTATTTAAAAAATCCAAAAATTAAAAAAAAAATAAAAATCCGTTTTTCGCTTGAAAGGTCCTTGAGAAAAATTAATTTGAAAATCCACGTTTATTGCTTGAAATGTCCTTGAGAAAAATATATTTAAAAATCCAAGTTTATTGCTTGGAAGGTCCTTTAGAAATAATAATTAAAAAATCTACGTTTGTTACTTAAAAAGTCCTTGCGAAAAAATTATTAAAAAATCCACGTTTATTGCTTGAAAGGTCTTTGAGAAAATTTGATAAAAAAAAATCCACGTTTATTGCTTGGAAGGTCCTTGCGAAAAAATTATTAAAAAATTCACGTTTCATGTTTGGAAGGTCGTTAAGAAAAATTAATCTAAAAATCCACGTTTATGGCTTGAGAAAAATTAATTTCAAAATCCATCTTTGGTGCTTGGAATGTCCTTGAGAATTTTTTTTTAAATATCCACGTTTTCAGTTTGGAATGCCCATGGAAAAATTTATTTAAATATCCACGTTTATTGCTTGGAAGGTCCTTAAGAAAAATTTATTTAAAAATCCACGTTTATAGCTTGGAAGGTCCTTGAGAAAAATAATTAAAAAATCGAAGCTTCTTGTAAAAAATTAATTTAAAAACAATCCACGTTCTTCCCTTCGGATGTCCGTGAGAGAAATTGAGAAATCCAAGTTCATTTTAAGGATGGCCCTTGATAATGCCCGTTTATTTAATTCTCAGAAAATTCCCGTAGTCCTTAAAAATGTCCTTCATTTAGTTTGAATATTTTCTGTTAATTACAAAATATTTTCTCACAACTTACTCAATAATAATCTTTTATTTATTTTGAAAACTCTTTGAATATCCTAGTACTAAGTCCTTTTAATAAAGAAAATATTTATATTTCCTAATGAAGCCTCTTTCGAACGATTCACATGAAACTTATTTTCCTATTTTCTTTTCATTTTCTTTGCAGCTAATCAAAATCAAAACAATTTGAACAAAATTTTACAAACATTTTGGTGAATAAATATAGTCAACATTCAACGAAAAATCAAAAGCAGAAAATTTCTGGCGCACACACACACAGAGTAAGTACATTTTTCCACTAAATCTTCATAATTTTATCTCTTTGAAGACGTTGTTTTCCCTCAAACATCCTAAGCAATGCTCAACGATAATTAGCCAAAGGACAGGATACGCTTACGTCGAAAGTTCTTTGCCACCAGGACTCGGTGGGTAGGCGATGGTGGTAGGACCATTTAAAACTTTTGACTTAGCCCAAATGTCCTTGTTTGCATTTATCGATGATGTTTATGACTGCTAATGACATTGTGACAGTTTTATGCTATTCCATCCTTGGCAATGTTATTGGACCGATGAAGACACTTTTAATGTTTGGCTGCTCATTAAAAATGCAGGGGAGGTCCTTTTGAATGGAGGTGGAAAGCAATTAGATAGAGAAATATGTGGGAGGAGATTAAAGGACCCTAGAGGACCTCTAAATAGGTGTGATTGAGCTTTTCTAGTTCTTTGTAAATTGTTTTAAAATTGCACACAATTTTGGTTCTTTGAGTATTTGAAAAAAAAAATATTTTTTAAAAATTTAAGGGTTAATTTAAAAATCCACATTTATTGCTTGGAAGTTCCTTGAGAAAATTCATTAAAAAATTCATGTTTATTGCTTGGAAGGTCCTTGAGAAAATTCAATGAAAAATCCACGTTTATTGTTTGGAAGGTCCTCGAGAAAAATTAATTTAAAAATCCACGTTAAACTCTTGTAAGGTCCTTGGGAAAAATTAATTTAAAAATCCACGTCTAATGCATTAGAAAATCATTTCAAAATCCACGTTTATTGTATGGAAGATCTTGAGAAAAATTAATTTAAAAATCCACGTTTATTTTTGGAAGGTCTTTGAGAAATGTTATTTAAATAATCCACGTTTAATGCTTGGAATGTCCTTGAGAAAGATTAATTTAAAAAGATCCGCGTTTATTGCTTAAAAGGTCCTTGAGAAAAATTTATTTAAAAATCCATGTTTATTGTTTGGAATGTTCTTGAGAAAAATTCATTTAAAAATCCACGTTTATAGATTGGAAGGTCCTTGGGAATAATAATTTAAAAATCCTCATTTATTGCTAGGAGGGTCTTTTAGATAAAATAATTTAAAAATCCACGTTTATTGCTTGGAAGACCCTTGAGAAAAATTAATTTAAAAATCCACATTTATTTTTTGAAAGGTCCTTGAGAAGAATTCATTTAAAAATCCACATTTATTTCTTGAAAGGTCCTTGAGAAAGCTTAATTAAAAATCCACGTTTTTCGCTTGGAAGGTCCTTGACAACAACAATTAATAAAAAATACACATTTTTTTCGCCTGGACGGTCATTGAAAAAAAAAATAGTTAAAAAGTCCCTTGCTTGGAAGGTCCTTGAGAAAAATTCAATTAAAAATCCACGTTTATTGCTTGAATGGTCCTTCAGAAAGATTATTTAAAAAAGATTATTTAAAGAAATTAATTTAAAAAATCTGCCATTAATGCTAGGAAGGACCTTTTAGGAATATTTTTAAAGACCAATAAACGTGGATTTTTGAAATATATTTTTTCAAGGATCAATAAACGTAGATTTTTGAAATATATTGTTTCAAGGATCAATAAACGTGGATTTTTTAAATATATTTTGTCAAGGATCAGTACGTGGATTTTTTAAATATATTTTGTCAAGGATCAGTACGTGGATTATTTTTAAATTATATTTTTGCACAGACCAATAAACTAGGATTTTTTTAATCAATTTTTTTTCAAGGACCAATACACGTGATTTTTCTTTTAAATATTTTTCAAAGAAAGAAAATATTTTTTAAAATACTCTTTGCCAATGTGGATTTTTAAAAAATATTTGTTTAACGATTATTTTAAACGCGGATTCTTGAAAAATATTTTTTCAAGGAATCTTTGCCGACGTGGATTTTTGAAAAGTATTTTTCAAAGGACTCCTTGCCAACGTGATGCTTAAAAATATTTTTCCAATGACTCTTTGAAGCGTGGATTGTTAGAAAATATTTTTCCTAGAACCATTTGCCGAAGTTGGTTTTTTTTTAATTTATTATTCAAGGAGTAATTATTATTTATTGTTATAAAATATTTTTCAAGAGACTCTCTGCCAACGTGAATTTTTGAAAAATTTTTTCCACTCTTTGTCAACGTTTTTAAAGGTCTCTTTGGAATATTTTTCCAAGGACTCTTTGCCAACGGGGTTTTTTATTTTTTCAAAGACTATTTGAAATGTGGATTGTTTGGAAATATTTTTCCAAGGACTCTTTGGCATGTGGATTTTTGAAAAATGTCTTCCAAGAAGTCTTTGCGACGTATATTTTTGAAACGTATATTTTTGAAACGTGGATTTTTTGGAACGTGGATTTTTTAAAAATATTTTTTCTAGAACTGTTTTAAACATAGATTTTTGAAAAATGTGTTTCCAGGACTATTCTAAAAGTGGATCCTTAAAAATATTCTCCCAAGAACTCTTTGCCAACGTGGATTTTTGGAAAATATTTTAAAGGACTCTTTGCCAAGGTGGATTTCTTAAAAATATATTTTCAAAGACTCCTTGCCAAGGTGGATTTCTCAAAAATATATTTTCAAAGACTCCTTGCCAAAGCGAATCTTAAAAATATTTTTCTAGGACTATCTCAACGTCAATTGTCTGAAAATATTTTTGTAAGGACTCTGTGCGATGTGGACTTAAAAAAAATATTTTCCAAGGACTCTTTGGCATGTGGATTTTTGAAAAATAGTTTTCCAAGGATTTTTTAGAACATGCATTTTTTCAACAATGTGGATTTTTTTCAAAATATTTTTCTAGGACTATCTCAAACGTAAATTGTCTGAAAATATTTTTGTAAGGACTCTGTGCGATGTGGACTTAAAAAAAATATTTTCCAAGGACTTGTTGGCATGTGGATAGTTTTCCAAGGATTTTTTAGAACGTGCATTTTTTTCAACAAAGTGGATTTTTTTCAAAATATTTTTCTAGGACTATCTCAAACGTAAATTGTCTGACAATATTTTTCTAAGGACTCTTTGCCAACGTGGATTTAAAAAAATATTTTCCAAGGATTCAAAGGACTTTTTGGAACGTGGGTTTTTGAAAAATATTTTTTCAAGGACTATTTTGGAATGCGCATTTTTTAAAAAAAAAATATTTTTTCAAGGACTATTTTAAGCGTGGATTTTTGAAAAATATTTTTTCTGAAGCTATTTTAAAAGGGGATTTTTGAAAAATATTTTTTCAAGGACTCATTGCCAAAGTGGATCTTTTTAAAAATATTTTTCTAGGACTACCTCAAACGTAAATTGTCAAAAAATATTTTTTCAAGGGCTCTTTGCGACGTGGATTTAAAAAAATATATAATTTTCCCAGGATTTTTTAAAAATATTTTTCCAAAAACTTTTTGGAACGCGTATATTTTAAAAATATTTTCCCAAGGAGTCTTTGTCGACTTGGAATTTTGACAAAATTTTTTTCAAGGACCATTTGGAACGTAAATTGTTAGAAAATATTTCTAAGGACTCTTTGATTTTTTAAATTTTTTTCAAGGGCTCTTTGAACCGTGATTTTTTTAAAAATATTTTTTCAATACTCTTTGAAACGTGGATTTTTGAAAAATTATTTTTTCAAGTATTAATCAAAAAAAAAGGATTTTTGAAAAATATTTTTCCAAGGACCCTTTGCCAACGTGGATTTAAAAAAAAAATTATTTTTCAAGTATTATTTAAAAAGGAGATTTTTGAAAAATATTTTTTCTAGAAAAATTTCAGAAGTGGATTGTTAGAAAATGTTTTTTCAAGGACTTTCTGTTTTCTGGAGTTTTCAAAAATATTTTGTCAAGGACTATTTTAAAGTTGCGTCCTTAGAAAATATTTTCAAGGATTCCTTGCCAACGGGGATTTTGGAAAAATATTTTTTGATGAATTTTTTAAACACGGAGTCTTAGAAATTGGAAAGTCCTTTAGAAAAATTAATTTAAAAATTCAAGTTTTCAATATATTTCAGCCTAGAAAAACATATTGGCGCACAAATCCACAATCCCTATCCCATCCTCATTTCTCTTAAGACTTTTAGCCATGGTCTTATTTATAACAATCTCTAAAATGCCAATAAGTCATCTCAGCTATTATGCCGCCAATAATAATAATGATGATGGTGATGCTTTCAATACTTATAATTTTCCTCGGTATGGATTCAACCCACAACAATTTTCTTGACTTTGAGCGATTACTTTCTTAAGGTTATACCGAGAAAGTGAGATTGGCAATGAGGGACAGAGGCTGCAGAGGTGGAGAGAGGGAATTTCAAAAGGATTGCTAAAGGTAAACATAGACACAAAAGTTTTAAACGCCCATTTTGTAGAACGCCCTCCTCCCCCCTCTCCTGCCAGCGTTTGACTGTGCCATCAAAATTGGCAAATTTTCCATTCATCTACGGTTGGCATATTGCTATTTTTGCTACCATGAATATAATCAGTATGAGCTGAGTGGTTGGCTGGCTGGCTGGCATGCGGGATAGCTCTTTGGCGGGATGACTTCTGTTGCTTTCTTGCCAAACAGCTGCTATTTCCAACGCTACCAGCTTTGAAGCCCTTAACTTCTGGGTTGGTTGGCTGACTGGCTGATGGGTGGGTTGGCTGATGGGTGGGTTGGCTGGTTGGCTGCTCGGTTGTCGCCTAAGTCATCGTGCGGTTATTTAACCATGTTTGATAATGGCTTGAAATTGTGGTTTGCATATTTTATAAGCAATTACATTTACTCGGGCTTTTAAGACGGCGACTTTCGTTCACGTACAAACAACAAGGCGGCAGGGCAGGACTCATCCCTGCCGTTACGCACAGACCTCCTGCTTGCACGCACACATTTTCATTTATCCTCATACTTCTCCTCCCCCACCCCCTGTTGAAATGCCTTTTATGCCTTGATATGCCTTTTTGGAATAGCAAGCTACATATCCCTAAGACACATCCTCTGATCTCCATATGCCATGGCAAAATTTCCATCTTCCACCCCCCGCACCATCCCTCATCGGCATCATC